GTTAATTTTAAGAAAATCGACTATATGAACAGCTTCAGATAGACAGTGTAACTGTGGTGCGTGCTACTTATATTGATATCAGTAGTATATGACGCAAGTCAGGAATGTAATGTCTGACAGCAGAAGATTGGGGAAGATCAACAAAGCAAGAATGGGAATAGAATGCGATTTGTATGAAAATTCAAGGACAATGAAGTCTGAGGCATTTTTCAAATTAACAATTTAATATATGGTTCTCAGATCTTATTGAGATGCTCTGTAATTTTGTGTTAAATATATTCGATTGTTCCCACCCGTGTTCTTTTTCACTACATAACGACTACCATCAACTCCAGTTAGTCGTTCAATTATATTCACTTGAAACTTGTCTTCATCTACCAGTCTTCAAACAATACTACTTACTCTTTCATCTCAAACCTTTCATAATTTGTCTCACCGTCTTAAAACCTACACAATAAGAGAGATATTCCGTTGATTACAAAAACCTATACAAAGGTACCTAAGAGTTTCCTCGTTGATTACTTCTTGTTTGTAGTTTACGATATCAATATTGTTAACAATGAGTAATTAAAATACTATCCTGAATCTGTTTAGATGATTGTCATTCAACATTTAATTCTTGAACTTTTCAAATTCAAATTCAAAGCTCATATATCTCTATATTCAATATTATAGTTATTATCATTTACTTGATACATTTTAACTGTTCATATATTTTCATTCTCAGTCATCTAGAATTTCTTCTTAAGAAATAAAATTTCTACTATACATACTCAATTGAGTTAACCTTACAGATTGATTTTAATTTTTGCAATACAAACATGATTTCATGTACAAATTTCTGTTAAATGCTTCATGTATGACATTAATTAAGATTTTCATAGCATTAGTATTACTTACCTTCAAGTAGATTCTCATACTACTAGTAAACCATATTTTATAATATATAATGCAAATCTATACTACTTTGATGATGCCACAGGTATTCGGAGTTTGACATCGCTTTGAGGAAGGCTTGTTCGCATGCTAAGCGAGCGAGAGCCATAACAAAGCAATTTTGACACGTATGGAAGATGGCCGGGAAGCCAACTCCGTTTTAGTCAAGTGTTATTCCATATTTATAGTCAGACAAAATAAGCTACAGACATACAATGAATCATGGGACATGAAGTGTACACTCACATACGCTCATATAAAAAACAGTCAAGACTGACAAGCGAATAATTGACAAGGTCAAAATATGGCTCAAGTAAAATGAATAAAATAGGATGTCCGGAAGTTAGAATAAGGTATATGGGCTTGCCATAATAACTGACACTACAGCTTCAACCAGTAACACCTAATATGAATTGTACCCACCAAATAAAATCAAAAGAAAGAAGCGAGGAGGTCCGAAGATATATTTGATAGGCTATCAATATATCAAGGATCGTCTGATCTAATCTAGCTAGCGATTGCAGGGGTTGTTGAGCTATTTATTTTGGGGGTTTATTTACAGCTGCAACTTTCACTTTAAAAAAACTAGGAACAAATGTACTTTTTTAAATGTCGTGATACATTGTAAAGAAATGATGATTAGTTAATATTCTCGTATGATATTTTCTAGTATCCGTATTGACATAGGATTCCTTTGTACTTGATTGTAGACTTATTAAGAATTCCAAATATAATGTTTTCAGAAATGTTCATCTAATTCTACCTACTCTAAATTGTACTATTTCGGGAATTCTTGATTAACAAATCAGGTCATATACTTCTAATGATCATATATTTACATAAATAGCTAAAATGGTGGTTGGGGGTAGTCAGCAGGAAACCCTGAACTCAGGTTTCGTGTTACTTGGCACTCGTCAGCAAGGTGTACCTGTTATCTTTAGGGAACTGGTTCTCCCTGACGGATTCCATCCAGTGTTACCAGGTTTCACAGTCAGGGACGATACCACTAGGCTATCCGGGCTGCGACTGACCTCCTGTAAGGCTGAGATGTATTCACGATTGATTGATCACTGAGTGGTGATATCCGTAAAAAAATCGCTCAGGGATATGTATATACTCCTTCCACAAGACAAGCCAAATACTCGAACAATACCTTGCGTCTGTCTTCGATGTATAATTACGGCAAGGGAAAATTTTATGACATATAAATTAAAGGACGAAAAGAAGAGTAAACATTCCTGCACTATGGGGAGATAGTACTCCCGCATCATTGGTGAGGCTCAAGTGTTCTCGAACTACTTTAGCAATGTATACACCATGGAAGCACCCTTCCCGTCAGTGCATATAAATCTCCCCACGCATACACTGGATAGCTTGACCATTAAATAACTCGATGTCTTTGGTCTGCTGAACAAGCTTGACATGGGTAAATACACGGGGCCCGATGAATTGAATCATAGACTACTGAACGAATTACCTAACTTCGTCGCGAACCCTTTAATCTTTAATCTATCTGTAACGCTGGGTCGTTTACCAAAAGATTGGAAGAACGCCATAGTAATTCCTATCTTTAAAACAGGTACGAAACATAAAACTTAGAATTACCGACACGTTAGCTTAACTACAGTGGTTTTTAAAATCTTAGAAAAGATTATTCGGAAGGAGCTGTTTAAGTACCTCGATGAAAACCGGATCCTTTCGGAGAAACAACACGGTTTCAGAATAGGTTATTCTCCTCTCAATAATTTATTAGTCGCTCGTGAAAGCTGGTGGGCTATTAAGGACTAGACGTTACATGTAGACGTAGCATAAATTGATTGAGATCATGCGCCAATTGATGTTAGACCACCACAATTGAAAACCTGGAAGCACTAGACGGCCACTTCGTCCTATTGTGGGACTCCTCAACAGTGCGCATCCACGATCCCGCTCGCGGGATTCCAACCGAGGGCCTCCGTTATCCCGCGCGAACTCTTAAACTACTGAACCACTGAGCCGGCCGGCATCCGACGGTGATAGTGTCTAACATCAACCAATCCACGAAATTGCGCAACCAACTTCCATTGTGTTGAGGTAGATACCTGTCTCTACCCAACATGGATTAGCTCCACTGGTCACGGCTTCTCACTAGAACTCCGAGAATACCCTCACGAAGCTAGTCACTAGTGAGCATCAATCGGTTCATGATCTCAATCAAAACTTAATAATCTCCACAACTACTATACTACTAATCAACATGTGCTCACTAGTGATTAGCTTCGTGAGGGAATTCTCGGAGTTCTAGTGAGAAGCCGTGACCAGTGGAGCTAATCAATGTTGGGTAGAGACAGGTATCTACCTCAGCACAATGGAAGTTGGTTGCGCAATTTCGTGGATTGGTTGATGTTAGACAGTATCACCATCGGATGCCGGGCAGCTCAGTGGTTCAGTAGGTTAAGAGTTCGCGCGGGAGAACGAAGGTCCTGGGTTGGAATCCCGCGAGCGGGATCGTGGATGCGCACTGTTGAAGAGTCCCACAATAGGACGAAACGGCTGTCCAGTGCTTCCAGGTTTTCAATTGTGGTGGTCTAACATCAATCGGTTCATGATCTCAATCAAAAACTTAATAATCTCCACAACCCCTTTACTAGCATACATTGATTTCTTTAAAGCTTTTAACAAAGTTCCACACAACCGTTGTTATATAAGCCAAAAATTGTCTGAATTGGCGGCAATCTATTGATGTGGATAAAAGACTTCCTGGTTGGGCGCAAACAAAGAGTAGGGATGAACTCAAAGTTATTTAGCTGGGAAACTGTGCTTAGTGGGGTGCCCCAGGGTACAGTTTTGGGGCCAGTGCTATTCCTCTTGTATGTAGATGACCTTCCTCGTCTCCTATCATCATCGGCCTTGCTATATGCCGACGATGTCAAGATATGGAGAACGATGCGATGTAAGGATGATAGCTTGGAACTCCAAAGTGACGTGAAGAAATTATATGAGTGGTTTCAAACCTGAGGGTTGCCGATAAATACTTCCAAGAGTGTTGTGATGCATATCGGTCATTAAGATACAAATACATACACGATGAATAACACTGAGCTACCTGTCGTCCGGACAAATAATGACTTAGGAATCATCTTTAGCCAAGACTTAAAAACTACTGCACACTGCCGTACAGTAGACGCCAAAGGTTTTAGAACGTTATGGTCAAAACGTAGGGCTTTTAGTCATGTCGACGCTAAAACATTTTTGACTTTGTATACAGTGTTCGTACGTCCTAAACTTTAGTACTGCACACAAGCAGCTAGCTCCTACTTAAAAAAAGACAGTGAGCTTCTGGAGAAGGTTCAGTGAACAACAACCAAGCTGATTCCCGGAATAGCGAAGCTTCCGTATGATGCTCGACTGGCCAGGCTAAACCTTTTCCCGTTGTCATATCGTAGAACTAGAGGAGACTTGATTATAGTTTTCAAATGGCTTAGTGCCAAATTTGCACCTGATATGGCCTCATTTTTCTCGTCTTCCAAAACAGAGAATTTACGAGGACACTCCAAAAAAGTTCACAAGCCCAGAACAAATTACTTGTCAGCTGACTATAGACTTTCCCATCGAATCATCAACGAGTTGAACTCATTACCTCAGCACGTGGTTGCGGCTCTATCCGTCGACTTCTTCAAAAGAAGGTTGGATCAACTGAGAGACCACCGTTGCCAAGACTAACACGGGCCATCAAGCCTCCTGTCCTTTCCAAACTGAAACTGATACAGTTTTTCCCTCACAGAAAAAATGTCTTGGAGAGTGAAACAGAAAGAAGTGAAATAAACACCGTGAGATAAATATTTCGGGGAAAATTTGATATTGAAAGAAGAGGAAAGAAAAGGAATTACAAAAGCCGTGAGCTACCTGAACTCTATTTCCATAGAAATAAAAATTGGTTTTAAAAAAGTGTAGTTGGTGGCCACCACGAATTCCCTCAAGACTCCAAAAATGAAAATGTCACAATAAGGTCCAATATTTGCAGTTCGAAACACTTCTAATTCCTCATTTGTTCTTCTGATGCAACGTGCAGTATTCTCATTATCGATGAAACCGCGCTATAATTAGTTTCAAGGTCCGGGTTCTTTCGAATGGATAGTTTAGTAAGTACATTGTTTGTCATCGTCGTTCCAATTTCCAGCTCTTAGATGTAGTTTCGGCAGCAAAGTTTGGATTAAACCTGTATATAGACCTCTTGTGTGAATACAATTTCTCTGTCTTAATAGTATCATCTATAACCTTTATGCTCATTTTGTCAGTTTTCGGTAAGTGATGGTTACAGCAATTATTGTTAAGAAATATCTGATGGCAGGCTTGTATGTTCCTTTTTTGCCTGTTTGAGAAAGACCCCTTTCATAAGATCGTACATTAATAAGAAGATAGATGAAGCTTCAAAAGAAATACATAAGGAGGTTCATAAAAAAACCTCACATATTGTATTTGAAAAGAACCTTCCAATCTGCGGACAAACTGTGGTAATCCATACTATATTAATACGAATTTTTTAGGAGAATGTACTCTCAAGTGCCCGGAAGTATAAAACATTGGGTTTGTTCATAACATGCAGTTGTAGAATGTATTATAGAATATATAAAGTGGAACGAAGGCTTTGTTTCTGGAAGCGTTTACCCAAGAGATAATGCTCTTACAGTTTTGTGCACGGATGTAAGTTACCACTGATTATACACTGATTAAGACTTTTTGTCTACTTTAAATTTTATTGTGTACCCAAGCTTTCAGCTTTATTGGTCATAGCTGTAATTAGATTGTGATAAAAGACACGTAAGCATTCGAAAGAGCACTCTTCTGTCCATGTGTAGTTGCATTTTTGAACTGTAAGTAATGAAGAATAACTTGATAGCTAATAGTATGCTCCCTAATCCGTGTAGAAATAATATAAATCACTAACAACCACTTACATTGTCTAAACCTTGCGTTCAGTCGTGATTGGAAAAAAGCTTAAGAGCATCATCTATAAAGAGCATTCCCCCCTTTAGGAACTCTAAAGCTGGTCTCTTGTGACTTGTGTGGTTATTGGTCTCAATTTAATTCCTTTGTATAGTCTATAAAAACTACGTAATATAACCAAACCAAACTAATGATTTTATAGGTAATTATATTTCCACTTTGTCAGGTATAATTGACAAAAGTGGTTTTAACTAGCCTTTAGTCTATTCTAACACGAGATTACGATGTCGGTCTACTCAAAAACTCGAAGACAAGTAATATCACTTTCAACCACAAATCAATCTTCAAATGATGTCTAGACTTATCTACTCCCTTTGTCAACACTTCACAACATACGAATGTTTACTACTTTGTAAAACAACATTCACACCTATCTATTATCGCGTTTAAAGATAAAATTATCACAAGTAATTATCATGGTTGGGAATCTGCCAATTGTTTGTCTAAACAAATTATGATTTTATAAAAGTTTCTGTGTTTAAAATATAATATTTAAATTGTTTTTTTACACTAATATTCTCTCAGTATACTAAAACTGTTCGGCTTCTCGTCACTTATAACAATGTGCTTATATCCTCATTAGTTGGAAAAATCAAGTGACTTTTAACCATCAAACAAGTATAGTACGTACTTTTCTATTTTACTCATTCTTTAGTATAGGTAAATGCATCTGTCATTATAATCCGGGACTTTTCAGCAGTGTGAGCCCACAACCTCTATAGATATCGAACCTCTTGCTTCTATCTATCGCATTAAGTGTATTATCTTTAGACTACAAGGTTGAAATTCAATAGTCGACATTAATATCTTACATACATTTATAATGCAGCACGACAACCACCCAGTATTTTTAGTAATCGTCACATATCCATCAATTAAACCGTAAAAACTATCTTCAGATTTAAGTAAGTCCCACCAACCGCCAAACAAAGGTCTTGTTTCCGGTTTTCTACTTTAAGAAAAAGTGCCAACTTTATCAGACTGAAGTTTTAGGTCCTTGGTCTTTTCCTAAACAAATCTGTTTTCATTATGTTTAAATCTCTGACTTGATAATATCATGAAATTTCCGTACGCTTTTTTATTTCTCTGTGCGTAAACTTCTCTTACTACAACCGATACTGTTACTCCTAATACTCTGAAATTTGTATTAAAATAATTTTGCCTTGATGTACCAATGTGATATGCCAACTTGAACCGATGCACAAATGTGTCAGGTTCCACTTTGCGTACGTTAATGATGACGATGATTAATAATACCAATTTTGATATGCTTTCCACTATCTATTCCGTGTTCAGATCTATAAGGAATTCCTCTGGACAAATCCATTACATCCGGAGCTTTTTGTTGATATTCGACGAATGGAAGCTGAGGTTGTACGTATGTGTGTTACAATGTTCCATGGAGATAAAGATGCATGCGGTACTGTAAGTTTAAGTTATTTCAAATTCATTGAATTGTATGTGCATTAAAACCTACTAGTGTGATTTTTATGACTGTTTGATTGACTTAGCTGACATGTGATTACCAACATAGTTTATTTGTGGCACATAAGCCTCACATCATAACAGAGTATATTTCAAAAGACAGAACTACTAACGAATTGTTTGAATATATGCGAATGTATATTATGAAATCAAAGATATTATTTATAAAAAAAACGTTCACCTGAAATAGTATAATTATGGATTGCTAGTTAATTAACAAATAATCGATTACAAATGGGGAAGAAGGATCACAGACTAACAAAACTTCATTTCCACATATTGTAACAGACATATGACTCCTTTAAGGGTAAACATTATCATACTCAAATATGCGTCAAAGCACAGCAATACGTATGTTTCTATAGTATGATACCTTATAAAAAGTTGAGATTGTTTAGTGAATAAGAGTGAAGTCTTTCATTTGACCAGATACCCCGGTTTTTTTAATGCAAACATCGATACAAGGAGATACCAAATAGATATGTGCCACACTTTGTCATTCGATTTTTGTGTGGACTAAAAGACTTCTTAGGCACCCAAACCGAAGCCGATGTTTTTCTTAAGAGGATACTTCCCTAGCCTTTGACCTAGAGGTCTAATCCACAAAGCAGTGGAGCAGCGTCTTGGAGATGCGGTCCCACGGTAGCCGGTGATCAATAGTAGGTTCACACGACATCTGTACTCTAGGGATCCTGGAGCCCATGTGAACCATTAATTTGTAATCAAGGTTTGCCAACTCCCCTAGTTGTATCCTCTGTATCCATCACCCGGTTAAAGCACCGGACATTCGCTTTCCATCATCACCTCAATTTCCTAAACAACATCATCACCCCTAGAAGGCAGTGAGTAAGTCTTTCTTGACAGTGGTTGTATACTTCAGTCCATGTGAGAGCATTTCGAGAGTGAGAGCTGACTCCTCACGTTCGGTCGTACTAGGGCATTTGGGGCTCTACGTCGCATTTGTTCCCTCTGTAGGATCCATGTACATACGACCTCATGGACAAATGATATCAGAAACTCATCAAAATTCTGATGTTCATTACGTCATAGAACTAATTCAAATAATCTGTAAATTACTGTTAGTTGTATTATATACTTTAAAAGTAGTAATAAGATGTTTAAGAAATTAAAGTAAATATGTTTTTCAACATCAACATGGACAACGTTTTGTGATAAAAAGAAAACCTGATGTGAATGTTCTATCCTTGAAAGCATTTGGTATATATTCTGTACTAGACGTAAAATCTGTTTATTCGTTCAATTGTTTTAATATCTGTCAGACAGCTACAACGTAGAACCAGCCACATATATGCATCGGTCTAAGTTGTCATACCTCATTAGTACAAGATAAACACCGAACTCATATAAGCAATTACTTCAAGAGTAGTAAAAAAGATTTAATGTGAAAATATGATACAGGGAGGAAGAATTAGTTCGGAGAAACAAATATATAAATTAATTTTAATCTCACGGTTTAAGGGAAGAGAAAGTATATACACCTACGCCATTGTGATTGATTCTGAGCCATGTCACCCAGAGTTTCCAACAACTGATTACAATAGTCACACCGACCCCAACCAAGTAGTCTGCATCTACCAACATGGCTCGGGTTAGAAGTTAGTGACTTTATGGACCGGTGCTACGTTTTGATTTCGCCACCCCTAACTTTTTTGCAACCGTCTCCAACACTAGTCAGCAATGTGCGCAGTGGTAATAGACGGGTGAGCATGCGTATTACGTGTCCAAACCATTTCAGTCTATGAAGATTCTCAACCTCATTAACTGATTTACCATCATTCCATAATATTCTGTGTTCAACCTCAATATTACTTACCCTGTGATCCCGGAAGATGGGAGTAATATTTCCAAACATCTGTAATCAAATACTAGTAAGTTATGAGTGTCCTCTGCCCTAAATGACTACGTTTCTTAGCCTTAAAGTAAAAGAAAACGAAATAATCTGCACCATAGTCATCCCTTAATTGATAGACGAATATCTCACCATCTCCATAGGTGATGTATGTTTGCAAAAGCCAGGCGAGTTTTTTGAAATTTCGTCAGACACCAACCCATTAAAGCTGGTCACAATTCCAAGATGGGTGAAGTCGTCGACGCGTTCGACCACTTCTTTCCCTATTTTTAGTTTAGGTATCGGCGCAGGCCAGTCCTGAAGCTACAATTTGTATTTAGAAGGCGAGAAATGCATTCCAAGCACCCAGGCATTGTCGCTGAATGCTACCAAAAGACTGTTTTATCAGCGTCTTCACCAAACAGTTGACCTCCTGGAAGGAGATCAGTTTCTGAAAATTCGGACGATGAGAACGTTATTTCCATCAGTAGGTCTATGGTGGAATTAAACGGAGATGGCGGTAGTGGACAGTCTTGCTAGACACCACATGAGGTTGCAAAATCAGATGATATTTCACCATAGGCTCTGACTTGACTGGTAGTGTTCGAGTAAATAGCTTTCACAAGGTTTATGTGCTTCTGAAGTACACCTTTCAGTAACAGACACTGCCACAGAACCTCTTGGTTTACTGACTCGATGCTTTTAAGTCAAGAAAAGCTATCATTGTCGGACGCCGATAAGCATGCCTATGTTCTAGAACCTGGCGAATGGTGAATGTATGGTCGATGTAGCCGCAACTAGACCTGAAGCCAGCCTGATTTCCTCGCGTTTGCAGTTCACGAGTCTTAGTTAGACGTCCGATAATTATTGAGGCTAGTATTAGTAAAACTAATCCCACCATGGTTATCACAGGATGATTTAGACCCCTTCTTATATACTGGGACAATCAGTGATTGTGAGCAGTTAGATGGGATAACGTCCAACTCCTAGATTTTAGCTAAAATATTAGTCAACCTAATCGCTAAAACTGGACTTTCATCTCTAAAAATCTCTATAGTTAATCCATCTGAACCATCTGCTCTTCCTTGTTTCAGATTAGTTATGACATTTTGAACTTCAATTATAGTCGGTAATTGTGTGTAGCTGTAGAGTAGCTAAAGGCCAGCTGAACTGCTCCTTAAAATGTTCCACCCATCGTTCTAAACGTCTGGGCTGAGAGTAGATAAGTGTCGTCTTTTTTCTGAGATCGTCTCACTTACACTTGACTTCTTAATTTTGGTTTCTTTTATTGGTCTGAAAAGCTGTCTGGTGTTACCTACAGCCGCTGCCTTTTCCATCTCATGCTTTCGTTGCCCACCACTGTTCACGGTCGTTCCGTAGACTTTTAGCTACCCTTGGTCTGATTTGTTCTCGCTTGTCACCGTGCTCGTAACCTGATGGAGTAAGTTTACGAAAATCTATCAGTGCAATAGATGTCGTAGAAATCCACTGATTTTTCACGACCCTTTGATTAAAATCATCAATAGATGCCACCGCTATTTCCGCAGCTGTTCGTATATCTTACCAGGCAATATCTGGGTCATCCTCGTTTTCAAAATTGCCTAATTGTGACCTTAGTTGTTCCTGGTATTTACATTTAGTCTTATCATCACTGAGTTCAATTCTAATCAGTCTTCTTAATGTGTCTTTTCTTCGTCCACTGAGGTCCAAGCAGATGCGTGCTCGTATTAGGGCATGATCAGAATCCAAACATGTATTCCAGAACGAGCAGCAATCTTCTATCGAACCCCTCCAACGATGACCGATGGCAATATGACCTATTTGAGTCCATCGTTAGTTTGGTGCGGGGGGTCGCCATGTTAGACGATGTCTTTTTATGTTTAAAATTAGTGCTTGTTAGAAATAAACGGTTGTCTGAGCACAGTTTCAGCAGACGGTCAACATTATCTGTTCACTGAGCTGGAAAACCGAAATACCCACCTAAATGTTTTTCTCTTTGGCTTAAGCTACCTACTTGGATATTAAAGTAGTCACCTGCTACAAGCACTATGTTCGAGTGCTTAGTTTTTCGAAGAAGTTCAGAAAGCTTTCTGTGAAATTCATCTTTCACTTCATTCGGACTGCAGTCAATGGGAGCGTAGGCAGAAATGATGAAATATCAACGACGTGTGTCCCTATCCTTCCGAGTTCTTGTGGAACTGTTTAGCCGAACAGCACATAGGCGACTGTTAATAGGGATCCACTCTAAAAGTGCTTGTTCCGCTTTCATACCTAGTTCCACGCCTACACCCGACAGTCCACGAGAAGTTTCTGTCGAGTCGCCAGATAAACAGAGGGTGTATATCGTCGGCTTCCCGTTTTTGCTAAGTCAAATGGATGACTACGCTAGGATCCTGTACGTGTCTTAGCCAGGGAGACCTGTCGGTCGATTTGACATATGGTACCCACGTTAAAGGCTTCAATGTATAGTTCGGAGGTAGGTTTCAGTAGACTTGGGACAGTGTTTCGCGCACTAGACTCGTTAGCCATAGTGACACTTGAGGAGGACGTTTAGGCTTGATAGTCCAAGTAGGAGGGATAATAGGAATCAAAGAGGTAAAATGATTGATTTTGAGTGCTGTTAGAGATATGAGGGCGTTTATCACTTCCCGCTTGCTCACATCGTTTAAAGCTTCTTCTAGAAGTACCTGAAAGGGGAATTGGGTTAGAGGTGTTCTTAGCGACCTGAGCGAAGCGAATTTCCACGGAGGGGACTATATGTTAGCTAGTCCTCTGCAAATTCCGTTTGACTTATGACCTAACGTTGGCGTTTTTAACAAAAACATCTGTCCTATATTGGCTGACAGTTCGACAACGTCAGCTGACAGTTTCGTCATTCTCATATTTATCTTTGGCAATTGACAAACTAAGCTTACCGAACCCAAATTGCACTGTTATTAGGCGTTGAAGCACTGGTTGATATTAGTGACTTTGTCTGAATTTGTATAATTCTATAAGTACAAACAAGTTTAAATTTGTGGAGACAAAACAACTGCTTAGCAATTGGAACGTTGGGAGTTTCTAACGATCTAAATTTGGATTGTTTTACTCGGATGTACCCAACTTGCATTTCTGCTACATCCAAGTCGACAGAATCATACAAGTAGTCTGACTTTTGCTTCACTACATCTCCAAAAACATAACACACTCACCATGTGGGATTATCTGTATGTTTTCATTCTACTAGTTACTATATCCAACTATATTGGTAAACGACTAGAATAAAGTTCACAAGTAAGATTATCCTAGGCAAAGAAAATTGGAAAAATAAAGGCGATCTTTGGGAAAAGTCTTAAGAAAAAGTAGGTGTGAATATATGCAACAATGGATTATAAATATCTCCTTTTCCCTGACCCGGGATAAATAGTGCGTATTTTCCCCAAAATTTCCCCATTCAATGGAAATGTCTCGAAATTACCACTTTTACCCTCCTTAAAATATCTACTTTTCCCAAAAACTAGTAGCAATTTGTCTACCTTTCTCTAAAATTAACACCATATCTTCTAATCTTGTGCAGTATTAACGAGTTAAACAGTAAATTTTTAGCAAAGCTTAGCGTACTAGTACACTGTATACTTGGTGAATTCTTTTTTAATTCTCTAGGCCAAACGAATTATATGCGTACTCGACAATGATCAACATAGTGGTTTAAGTAAAAACAATTTATCACACACACAGTTGTCAACATCATTCACATAGGGGGGAACAGTGAAACGTCCACATCTCAAATGGCAGAAAAAGGTGTCTTCAACCGTAATATAAAAAATGATTAATAAGAGGTTTACGTGCATAGATCCAGAAAGTTTCTTAGTTGAAACAAGATAGTTATGCATATCAACGTACACTTGCCACATTTAGTTAGGTTCAACGTACTCAATCCAAGTGAGAAGTTTAATGTGGATCCAAGAAACATTTACTGGACAAAAAGTATTTACACTAAGGGATAAGGTGAGGTGCACATTTTTAGGGTCGACACGAACTCGGAGCCTTTTGCGTAAACGCTTAATCTTTAACCTACTGAGCCATCATCCAACAAGGTGAGTATCTAACTTCATTCAGTATTCATAGTATTATTTCTAAATTTATTGTTTCTTCGTACCCATTAGACTACGTCAGGAGGAACAGAAAGCATTCTTCTTGCATGTTTGGCCTATCGTCAGCTTGCACGTGAACATGGTATCAAACACCCAAATATGTAAGCTTCCATATACTAATTATGTAACTCATTTGCCGAGCACGAGCTTATGTACTTATCTTTAAACCATATCGTTTGTACTTGATGGCTAGTAATAGTACATGAATTCCCTAACTGAAATAAATAGAGTGGAGATCTAGACCTACGATCTCAGTGATTGAAAATCAAATGCCCCAATCATTAACCTGCCTTTGTATACTTCCATCTAAAATACCTCCTTCATCTTCACTTTGGATAACATTTTTTATCTTCGTCTTATACTGTTGTTGACCTTTGAGGCAATTTGTTTTTAGACATTGATGCCATATTCACTTGGTATTGTTTAACTTGAATCTTCCCATTGATGTTTTTGGATTGAAATTGATCAGTCTCTTATTGGCATATGTGCATACTGTGCGTATGCCTCGATATTGCCTTAATTTACAAGCATTATAAGCAAAGATGGAAGCGAACGGTACTGAGTTCGAGTCCCAGAGTGAACGTCAAATCTGAGATGCAGGTACATCCAGCTGACGAGTCCCGAACAGGACGAAACACGCGTCCTGGATTCCACTGCTAGCCACTATCCATCTTTGCTTATAATTGATGCCATATGTCCGAAGTAATTCATTAGGTAATTTAGGAACTTAGGATTCAAGTAAACGCACTTAACACCATCAGGAACGATGTTCAACCATGCCACTCAATGTCTCTAACCACTATGCGGATCCCAACTCAACTTAACAGAATGTTGGCTGCAATCTGAATAGTTCATTCCCCTACCATATCTAACTGTGATACTGAATAATTCAACTTCAAATCTCTCTGGAAGAATAGGTTCCTTCAAGATTATAGTTCTGCTGACAAAGGTAAACTATTATGAAACATAGAACAGACAGGGCTTTTTATTGATTACTTTTAATCACCTAACAACAATCTGTTAAAATTCCTGAAAACCATATGAATTAACTTAGAATTATATCAATCATTAAGGTTGATTATTAATTTGTAATTATCAAAGCTGAGCTGTGTCAAAGCCTATACGGATATGTAGTTTGTTGTTTTGTACATTTTGATGATAATTTCAATCCTTTTTTAAAATTATTTTTCCTTATCACCTGCATAATTTGTTGAAGTAGATTCATGATCAGATTGGTTCAAATGTATTGTTCCAAATTCTATATTTGAGTCAGAATCCCGGTTGTAATTTGGTCTATTTCCCATCCCTCTATGTCCTGCAATTGAACCAATTACACACTAAACCAGCTAAGTCCTTATTGGCCTATGGTACCCCAGCTTCCCTCTCTGCTCTGGTCTTGAGTCTAGAAGTCACCAACCAGCCTTTATCAAATTTCAAGCAGACGTAGTTTATATTTGGGCAACCTAGATCCCATCACACGATAATATATGAGATAACAATATATATGAACAAGCCCAAAAGTGGCTCTGGGTAGGGTAGACTAAATAAAATCTGGCAACAGATTAGGAAAGGAAAATCATATAACAGTAATTAGTGTTTCAACCGAAAGCTTATGACGAAAGGAATATTGACAATAAGAATCCACAAATTAGCTCTAGAAGTAACCATTCCTTTAATCTTTGTTGTAATATAACGATTACACCATCCTTTGATATCCTTTAATCACTTGACATGATTATCAGGTTGTTTTATTCATTGGATTCCGAAAATTCCATCTTCAACAATAACTGTAGTGTCACGTTTGTTTGTTTTTTCGTGGTCACACAAAGTGCTTTAGTTGTTATCTTATATTTATATATCGTTAAATGTAACTCTTTTTAGTCATGATTTAAGTTTTGATTCCGTCCACAATTTTTCTTATAGGGTAATTCCGGTCACAGCTCATCCGGCATTTGATAAAGTATGCTTTGTTTTCTTAATTTTCATTGCTTCAGAAGTTCACTTTTGATATATATCTTACTGTATTTTATTATATAGAGTTATTGTCTTATTTCACAAGATATTGTAACAACTTTAAAAATAAATCTATTTCCACATTTTAAAACAATTAGGTTACAACTCATCACACATTTATCTCATCTAAACAACGATTAATAACTTCAAAGCTTTAGACAGTAGTTTCATCTTAGTTGTAAATGCAATTTAGTGACAGTTTTTATTTATTTATTTATTTATTTTAGCACATAGATATTGGTACAAAGAGGCACCAAATACATATGCACCACACAAATCTCACTTGATATGTGTGAGGGCTGTGATACTGCCCGGGTGCCCAAACCGAACCAGGTGGTTTTCTTAGGCGGCCACACCCGGAGCCTTCGACCTACAGGTCTGATCTATAAGACAGTGGAGCATCGCAAGGAGATGCAGTCCAATGGGAGCCGGTGACCAACGATTGGTTCATATGCCATTTGTTCCTTCAGGATACTGGAGCCCATGTGCACCATTGGTTTGGAATCAGGGTTTTCCAACTCCCCTATGTGGACTCTCCGTGTCCGCCAACCCGGTTAAAGCGCCGGACGTTCGCTTTTCGTCCTCTCAATTTTGTAAACAACAGTAATGCCACGAGAAGGTAGTGAGCAGGACCTCCTTGGCAGAGGCTATATACGCGTGGCCATGTGAGAGCATTTGGAGAGGGAGAGCTAACTCTCCTCACTCTCGGCCGTACCAGGGCGTTTGGGGGCTTATTTACTCTAAATAATTATATCCACCTTCCCAAACTGAAGTATATTCTATTTTTGAATTCATTAACAAGTGGTACACCCTCATAAACATATTATGGATTGAATCCTCAAAACATCCAAATTTCCTACTAACTGTTGAGTTCGAGATCAGATAGAAACATATGTTTGTTACTCCCTAGTTTTCATTGATCATCTAACTGAATCAAATCAGTTCTTGATTTAGACTATCATCAATTTATCTATCTTGTTGAATTCTCTTACATTATTTTATTTAATAGTCCTATGATCAGGAATAAAATTGTCCACAAATCATTCATCTATTCAAATTAGCATAGTTTGTCACATCGTATAAACAGAGAGAATCATTAAAAATGTTAGGATATTCAGGAAAGAAATATATCTGTGGAATTAACCACTCACCACCATCATGACTGTACAGTAATACGCTATATGTTTGATCATTGAATATAAAATAAATGATTTTGAGTCTCCCTCAAATGTTTTCTTATTAGAGTTAACGCGACTTCTTAGGTTCATACACCTATTACCTGATATAATATTGTGATCTGTTACTAGTTTCGTTAGTAAAAATAGATCAGCACTAATGACACATGTATTTGGTCTATCACTCAACGATCAATCAGTGTTAATATCTTAGTCATATAAAATAATCAATCAAAAGCCTAAAAAAACTCAGTGATAATATCTCAAACTGGTACATTGGATAATTCATTCTAGGATCATACAAAGACTGATCATTAAGCACAATTGATTGATCACTGGGTGGTAATCAATGTCATGCGTGTCTAGTCCTTATTATTAGTGTAGATCGAATGCTATCGATCATGTTGCAATGTGGCCATCAGTCTAGGTGACTCGACACGGCGTGCACTATTTATTGAGATTAGATGGTGGTTGGAGGTAGTCGACAGGAAACCCTGGACCCGGGTTTCGTGCTATTTGGCACTCGTCAGCAAGATGTACCTGTAATCTTGAGGGAACTGGTGCTCCCTGGCATCTCAGTCCTACAGGAGGTCGGTCGCGGCTCGGATAGCTCAGTGCTGACGTCTCTGACTGTGAAGTTGAGTGACACGAGATCGAATCCGCCAGGGAGAACCTTTCCCTCAAGATTACAGTTACACCTTGCTGACGAGTGCCAAATAGCACGAAACCCGGGTCCAGGGTTTCCTGCCGACTACCTCCAACCACCATCTAATCTCAACTGATCATTAGTCCCATCATAATTACATATAAATCCTAATAACAAGTACCAATTAACATAATGAATTGACCTTTTTTCCAATCAATCTCAATACACACTCAGTTCATTTTCATCATTTGATTTTTGTTTTTTTACTTTTCACTTATCAAATTTTAGGCTGCACATTATTTTTCTATTAAAGTAATTCATGTTCCATTGGATCCTATTACGTATCAAGTAGATATGATTGAAATGAAATCATCAATAACCGATGATACATGTATGGTACGTTTATCATTCCTTGTTTCTTTGGCATTGTTGTTCTCTTTTACTTGAACAATCATTCTATTATTGTCACTTTTATTCTTCTTATTTTGATATTTAACTGTTTTCTTTATTTTATATTAGACTTCTTGTTTGAATAGCTATAGGAAAATCATAATTTATAATTGACACAGTTACATTTCTAGTTTACTTAACATTCTCTGATCTTATTCGCTACTTTTAATTTATATTTCCTGCGTTGTTTCTACCTTGACGTGGTGGTTGGACTTGCCTATCATGATGAAGCAACCGAGCTATACTGGCTAGAACAACCGTTCCTCAAGGTCCTATCATGTCAGCCAGGTCAGTTGAAGAGCGGTAAGACTAAAAGCAACAAGCCTAAGGTCCGAAGGCGAAGTCGTACTGCTGACTGTGCAGAGGTGTGACAGCAGTAAGGTCCTTCTTTCAGACAACTAGCATGACAGCGATGCTGCCATCCCACAAGGAGGGGTGGGGTTAGAAAAGGTCGACCCTAAAAATGCACACCCCACCTTATCCCACGGATATCCTTTTCCGGCGGTAAGGTCTCAACAAGTACGGAGCTAACACAAAAATTACCCATAAAAAGGTCGCGTGTGATTGACCTCAAGCAGTTGTCCCTTGGGCACTGCGGTCATGCTCTCAGGTTACTGAGACCACCTCTACTCCAATTTCCTTTTCAGGCACCTCCCGCGTTTATCTGTCCATTATAGTGGTTATTGTAAAGTTTCTGTTATAACTTGTGGCCTGTGTGCCTTGTTAATGTATAATTTGATGATACTGCCAGTTAGAGAGCAGTGAATTGTCGATCGGACCAGTGACGCATAAAACCCGTGCAAGCAGTCTAGAGTACTTATCGGTCCTGCTTCCTGCCTAGCCTGGCCAGTTAAGTCCACAACACCAATCTCAGCTTCTGTGATATGAATCATTTATTTCAAATATACTGGGTTTATACACAAACTAATCAGACTACATCGTACTATAAAATGGAAAATAATATTTGTACAAGATTTAGCCAAAAGTGGCTGTAAATATGGCAGGTAGTAATTAATAGACAGGGTATAACTCAAGAATGGTAAATCGTATAATAACAGTTCATAGGTCAAAATAAAGCTTATGACAAGAGGAACACTAATATGATTAGTTTAGTTATTTAACAATTATACGATAAAAATATGCGTGTGTGGTATTGATCCATAAATGGATCCCAAGAAATACCATTCATTATACTCATCGGGATATAACAGTTTCCCATTTTATTTCTTATGTTGTTTCATTGTACTACTACAATTGTATCTTTGTGGTATGGCAACCTGAACTGATGTACGTACGTAAGAATTTCTACGTTGTTGCTGACTGACTGTACTACTGTGATTTGTATCAACTTGATCCGATACATATTCATATCAAATCCTACCTTGTTTAATGACTGAGATCATTCAAAGTCAGACTATTTTACTTAAAGTTTGGTACGTGTTTTTTATTGAGCGAAATTCTTACAAAGGAATAATTATTGATGATATTTTCACAGGTTTACTAACTTTATAACTTAATGATTGTCAAAATAAAAATTATATTTTCTGACGTTTCGTGACTTAGTGTAAGCCACTTCTTCAGATTTATTTATTCTATGAAGAAGTGGCTTACACTAAGTCACAAAACATCAGAAAATCTCATTTTTCTACTCATTGGGATATTATAAATATGCTTATTTATTTATTATAATCTACCCAATCCTCAATTTATTCGAAATTATCAAATCAAACTTTGGTAATGATACCTACAAACTCATTATTCAGTTTAATGTTATTTGATTCTAAATCTTGACGGAATTCTACCTTTTAGATGTCCAAGTGAATATGGTATTGTTAAATTATTATTTGTCCTTAGGTTGTTGAGAATAACCACTAACCTTTTTAAAATATTTCTGACATGATGACGTCTTTTTTTTATGCCAATCATTATATAAACATAAAACTTAGTAACCAAATATACTGATCGTATATCCAATATTGAGTCATATTTTGTTTTTATATAAAGGCTTGTAAAACTAACTAGCTAATCAAAGATTTTGTAATTTACATTACGTGCATGGAGGACAATTGACAGACTCGTTCGAGGTAAAGACCGGTGTCAGGCTTGGTTGCTTACTCTCACCCTTTCTCTTTCTCTTGGTGATCGACTGGATCATGAAGACGTCAATATCTGAGGGGAAGCATGGGATACAGTGGACAGCTAGGATGTGGCTAAACGACCTAGACTTCGCAGATGATCTGGCTCTTCTATCACAAACTCAGTAACAAATGCAGAAGAAGATGACCAGTGTAGCAGCAGCCTCAGCATCAGTAGGTCTCAACATACACAAAGGAAAAAGCAAGATTCTCCGATACAACACAGCATGCAAAAATCGAATCACGTTTGATGGAGAAGATTTGGAAGATGTAAAGACATATCTAGACAGCATCATTGATGAACACGGTGGAGCGGATGCAGATGTGACGGAGCGGATCGGTAAAACAAGAGCAGCATATCTACAATTGAACAACATCTGAAACTCAATACAACTGTCAACCAACATCAAGGTCAGAATTTTCAATACAAATGTCAAGGCAGTTCTACTATATGGGACGGAAACTTGGAGAACTACGAAAGCAATCATACAGGTGTTTATTAACAGTTGACTACGCAAAATACCTCCGATCCGTTGGCCAGACACTATCAGCAAGAACCTACTGTGGAAGAGAACAAACCAGGTTCCAGCGGAGGAAGAAATCTAGAAGAATCGCTGTAAATGAATAGGACACACATTGAGGAAAGCACCCAACTGTGTCACAAGGCAAGCCCTCACTTGGAATCCTCAGGGTCAAAGGAAAAGACGAAGACCAAAGAACACATTACACCGAAAAATGGAGACAGACATGAGAAAAATGAATACCAATTATATAGTCCTGGAAAGAAAGGCCAGGACAGAGTGGGTTAGAGAATGCTTGTCGATAGTTTACGCTCCATTGGGAGTAACAGAAGTAAGTAACTAGGTAATTACGGGCTAACTGTAATTAAGCAATCATTGAATAACAGGAAGTTCTATTATTGGACTTTTTAACAGTCCACATCCATCATCTCATTAGGGATCAAATCTAAGATCTATTCATGAAGTCAAAAGCATACGAAGTTGGATTATAGCCTAGTCATCGTTGTTCATCAATATTAACAATTCAAAGCGTATTCATAGTTTTTGAAGTGGTTAAAATATTGATAATAATTAAATTAATATACTAATATGTTAGTCTAAGGCTTTAATTCTATTCAAGCTTAAGTTGAAATGTATGCACTTAGTGAACTTGTTATTTAGATTTCATTGATATGTCTAAGTTTTCATCATATTTCTAAATGTTTTTGTAGCTTGTTGGTTCAGCACCAGGATTTCCCCATGGAATAATTGATCCTATAGAAGAAATTGCTAAAGTTAGTTACTTCTTTGTCCATTTATATTTGAGCCTAGTCATAACTCATGAATCACTTCTATCTCTTTTTTTGAAATATGACAAACTGTCTTTAACGTTTTATCATTAACGTTGACTAACTGTTGAATTGTTTGTTTTATTCCTAGAAAAAAAAGATCATCTCTTCCTTCCGAAACATTCATTTAATCAAGTGTTTATAGCCTCTTATAGGAATGCTGTACCTACTGTGTTCATGTGCCATGAGTGATTTGTTGTTGTTGCAAAAGTAAGAGTTTGCAACTGGAATGTTCATTGGTTGTATCAGATTGGTTAATAATAAGAGTTTATAAAGATAATGGCGTACATTGGCTGCTAGATTCTGAAGGAATTAAGGATATATGAATCTACTTTAGACATCAGTTACCATAACATTGTATCTCTTAATGTTTGGTAAACTATATTTTAAAGTTAAAGGCGCTTAAATACAAAATCTGAACACTGTCTCAGTACTTACACAAATAATAATGATCATAGAATTATTTGGCTCAACATAGTTATCGTACTATAACTAACCTACAGTTTACTAAACGAAAGCAGCCTAATCAGATTTCGATATATACTACTGCTAATCTGAATATTCCTATTCAGTAGTTTATTCTGTGATAAATTCTGATCGACTAAGGTTTCGGGGGTAGCAAGCATATGTTACATTTTCTTAGCCATCACCTACTTTGCCTTACTGATAAATAAATGGGTTGGATGAAACCTAGTGGCGTTCAAACCAATAGTTGATGTCGATTCATAAAACTGTAAACTATCTTAATGAATCATGTTGGTTGATCCAAACTACCTGATAGGGCATCGACTCGATCAACTTTCGGAAATGTCAAATAATCTTTCTCAGAAATGGCTACAGAGACTTAGCGATTACGTATTCGCCCTTTATTTTTCTTATGCATCTTATTGTGAATATTTACTTTTGGGAAGAATTAAATTAACACTTTATTTTCCTGGCTATACACCGATCGCCATTGAGTTTTAAACAGGATCTTCTTTTTTTTTCTTACCATAGTTAGGTCATAGATATAATATACCAGTTCATGTGGATTGTTGCTTAGGTGGTTTCCTTTTACCTTTTATGGAAAAAGTTAGTTATCCAATTGGAGAATTCGATTTTCGGTTGCCCGGTGTCACAAGTATATCATGTGATACACATAAGGTTAGTTTTGTTTTCCTAAAAAAATACTTGGTTCGTTTTCTTTCTTATTCATAAAAGTTTATGCTACCCTGTTTTTGATATTCAGAACTAAATTTTAAAGTAAACAGTATCGATTTCTAATTATAATTATGAACATCAACACTGGTTCTGACGAGTCCCAGATAAGATTAAATCCGCATCGTGGATTCCACTGATGGTCTTTTATATGAGTTATCTACTAATGTTTATTCAGTAAACATGAATATATTTACATATTGTCTTATTTTAGTTGTATGGTTTATGGTTTATGCTGTAGACGGACAGTTTATCTCAACAATGTTTAACTCTGAGTGTTATTGCGTTCTATGCATTCTATGTGCTAATATGGTATAACAACTCGAACTGATGTACGTACGTACGAAGTTCTACGTTGTTACTGAGTGACTGACTGACTATTGCATTCTATGGTCTTAATAGTTTAATTACAAATCGTTCATCTCTTACTTCAAATCAAAGTATATTACAATTTATTTTACAATCTTCAATCAATTAGTCAGAAATCAACCTAACACACAACTTAGTTGAAAGAATATATAAAAATTTCAAAGTAATTCTCATCATAAACTGACAATATTTAAGCAATCATTGGAAACGAAGGAATATTTGAGAGCCAGTTTTATCTAGTTTTAAACTCTTGGATGATATGGTGCACTTCGTTGTGTTTTTTTTTTTATGAGATCGAGTTCAAAATACGTAGGTCTCATTGTCTATAGAGTCAACCATATTGAGGCTGTAATTCGTCAATAACACTGAATGAGAAACACACTGTATGGTGATAAATCGGTCGAAGTTGTGTACCTTCGAATTCCTACTTAATAATTTGAGTATATCGTTATATCTTTACATTACTCGAATGGGATCGTATGCAGTGTCGTAGGTGCACACTACTGAAGTACACAGAATTTAGGTGAAATAATAAACTGTTAAATCTTTTAGAAGAATTCACATGATATAATATTCAATGTTTTTTTGTAGTATTGTAAATCAAAACAATAGACAGGAGAAACGTATATTTAGATAACCTCCAATCGTTAATTTGCATCTTTCAGTGTGTTCTACCATCTGAACTGTCTTTTTGTCTAGTCTCAGAGTGTTCTACCAACGCTTTGCTTTTAATGCACTAAAACTCGTCAATCTGTTTGACAGTTGTTACCACTTCGATACTACGTTCCGCTACATACTACTTACAAATATCCTTGTGAATAGCGTCCACTACAGTATTTTATGTGATTCGAGTTTAGTTCAAATCGAATTGGTCTTAATAATTGTTATTAGAAGAAATGAATTTTCTTTTGTTGTTTTTATTTAGATAACTCATTCTGACGTAGAAATTTGAGACTCTTCTGTAGTTGATTATAATTATCATTCTATTCATCGAAATTATGGCTTAAAACTAACTATATGAACTTATACTTGTTAATTATTGAACGATATTATTTATTATTTTGGGGGGCCATTTCTTATCCAGACAATCTTATCTGTCAGTCATAATTAATCTGTACAAGATATCAGACTAAGATCCACCCATTATTATTATTATTAATCTTACTCAATACCCATTCCTTTCTTTGTAGTACGGGTTTGCACCAAAAGGCACATCTGTTATAATGTATAGAAATCAATATTACCGATCTAAACAATACTTTACACAGACAACTTGGCCTGGTGGCATATATGCTTCATCAACTTTACCAGGTATGTTCAACTGTTTATTATTATTATTATTATTATTATTATTATTATTATTATTATTAGTAGTAGTAGTAGTAGTAGTAGTGGTACTAATGGCAGTAGTAGTAGTAGTAATGTTAGTAGTATTTATAATATCAACACGTTTATAAAAGTTATGTATTATGACAGTTAAAAAAACACACAATAATTTTCTGATTTCTATATAACTGTTGTTGTTGTTTTTATTGATGAAGCATTATGTTTACATAAACATGTTTACGGGTAACATCAATAAACTTTTAATTGTCATTAAACAGTTTTGGGTTTTTCTTTTCTATTTTTACCATTAAAATGTTCTCTGTCAATGGAATAACTTCTGATGATTAGAAAGAATTATATTAAAATGAATATAGAATTTAATTGTTTTTTCTTTATGTAAATTAGTTAGCTTCGAATATTACCTTTTTATTAATTTGGACATATAAACATTGGTACAAAGGTGAGTGAGTGAGTGAGTGAGTGAGTGAGTGAGTGAGTGGGTGAGTGAGTGAGTGAGTGAGTGAGTGAGTGAGTGAGTGAGTGAGTGAGTGAGTGAGTGAGTGAGTGAGTGAGTGAGTGAGTGAGTGAGTGAGTGAGTGAGTGAGTGAGTGAGTGAGTGAGTGAGTGAGTGAGTGAGTGAGTGAGTGAGTGGTGAGTGAGTGAGTGAGTGAGTGAGTGAGTGAGTGAGTGAGTGAGTGAGTGAGTGAGTGAGTGAGTGAGTGAGTGAGTGAGTGAGTGAGTGAGTGAGTGAGTGAGTGAGTGAGTGAGTGAGTGAGTGAGTGAGTGAGTGAGTGAGTGAGTGAGTGAGTGAGTGAGTGAGTGAGTGAGTGAGTGAGTGAGTGAGTGAGTGAGTGAGTGAGTGAGTGAGTGAGTGAGTGAGTGAGTGAGTGAGTGAGTGAGTGAGTGAGTGAGTGAGTGAGTGAGTGAGTGAGTGAGTGAGTGAGTGAGTGAGTGAGTGAGTGAGTGAGTGAGTGAGTGGTGAGTGAGTGAGTGAGTGAGTGAGTGAGTGAGTGAGTGAGTGAGTGAGTGAGTGAGTGAGTGAGTGAGTGAGTGAGTGAGTGAGTGAGTGAGTGAGTGAGTGAGTGAGTGAGTGAGTGAGTGAGTGAGTGAGTGAGTGAGTGAGTGAGTGAGTGAGTGAGTGAGTGAGTGAGTGAGTGAGTGAGTGAGTGAGTGAGTGAGTGAGTGAGTGAGTGAGTGAGTGATGAGTGAGTGAGTGAGTGAGTGAGTGAGTGAGTGAGTGAGTGAGTGAGTGAGTGAGTGAGTGAGTGAGTGAGTGAGTGAGTGAGTGAGTGAGTGAGTGAGTGAGTGAGTGAGTGAGTGAGTGAGTGAGTGAGTGAGTGAGTGAGTGAGTGAGTGAGTGAGTGAGTGAGAGCGAGGCATACGTGATAACGTCTCAAGCTACTGTGTTGCACTATCTCTAGGACACCAACCAATGAGTTATAAAGGATCAAGAGATACCAGCCTTTATTAAGTATCACGACACTGTGACATGAATAAATAAACTGGAAAATGGAATGTTATGAGCTTTTTTCTGGAACTAAAAGATTCAGACAATTTGGCAGTTGAAAGTGCATTGCCCATTTTAGCAAGTTTCCAACTAGCTTATAGTTGACTTTAAGTGAAGATGTTGTTACATTCAAATAATTAATACTGACATCTAAAGAAATAATTCATTATAGATTGACTCCTACTAAATAACCTTTGAATAGCAAGGTCCGTTGAACAGTGGTTTCGTCCTAGTACTGGACTGTTTAGTATTAGGGATTCACAACAGCCAGGAATCGAATCGAGCATTTCCAGGTCTCTCATATTGACTGAAGTTGGATAAACAGACCAGTTGATCCTCAACTCAGTTGTTTGTAGGAAATATAATAACCATGAGGTTTGAACGTCTTGGATTTAGTACTTAAATAGCTATCCAGTTCTCCTTGGTTTTTAACGGTTATCCAAACAATTTCTGATATAAACTACCTTCCGATTGAAAATTTTCCACAAACCTTTCATCTGAATGAAGTTTTCCACTATACCTGTAACTTGGACTCAATGATCGGACTTGGCATTAGTGCTGACCTAGTGGTGCTAAATTTTCTGAAGCATTTTCTTCTTAAGGGTTCACCCATGTTAAACAGATTGATTGATTGGAAAGAGGTAAGAATGAAAGAGCTGAATCAATAGTCCAAGAGCTAATTTGCGCTACTGGGAAGGTTTAAAAAGTAAACAGCTCACACATGAATAACAAATCAAAATCCGTTTTGTGCGATTGTCATCAAATAGCTCTCTAATTACGATCTCAGGTTGAATAAGTCTCGAATATTAACCTCTTTTCATCTCCAAACCACTCGAAATGAAACAAATCTTTTCATAATTTAACCATCTGTAAAGAATCAAGCACATACACACTCCTAGTAGCACTTGGGTTTTGCTAGTTTCGAAGCGGTTACAAGTCCATTTAGTATGCGAACGGAACAAAGACTCGGTGACCAAAGACCAATAAACTAGCTATTATATTGCGTCCCAACCCTGCTAACTAGAAAGAGAAGTCGAAATCCGAACGGGGAAGTATATTCCACAAAAAGTCAGAAGCATGAGAGATAACAACAGACACAAATCAAAACGTATATATACAGCACAAAACCGTCCTTGGGAAGCGTTACAAAATAGCATATTAAAAGACACAAAGGACCAATAGCATTTAAGATTCTTCCAAATGGTAAATACGACATGAAGGTGAAAAGATCACTCTTGCCGCGAAAACAAAGAAATTCAAAATTTCAAAAGAAAATTACAAAATTAGGATCTTTTCCAAATGAGTTCTAGGGATCTAACGTCTCCAACAGGTTTCCTCTAATTATTCACTGTTTAATATGTATTGGAAATTGTTTAAAGAGTTTTTGAATCTTGATAGATAATCCATTCCATTGAATGACCAATATATTAAACTCGGAAGAAGCAAATGATCTAGAACATACAAAATTGGTCTCTACACACTATTAGGAAATATTTGTTGATGGAAGTTTAAGTTTCTAGCATCAGAATTATCAGTAATTGTAACAATCATGTTAAGTCTTTACTTTGATACAATTGTGAAAGGATTCAGCTTTATAATTTTGTCAATGATTCCTGTTGAATAATCCTTTCCAATCAGATTTTATTTTTCGTCAGCGAATTATATTTTCCTCAGTAACATCGAAACTTCAAACTTATCCGTTTGAAAGACGAGATTATCATATAAATTACTTTGCCCCCGAATGCCCTGATACGATCGAGAGTGAGGAGAGTTAGCTCTCCCTCTCCAAATGCTCTCAAATGGCCACACGTATATAGCATCTGCCAAGGAGGTCCTGCTCACTACCTTCTCGTGGCAATACTGTTGTTTACGAAATTGCGAAGACGAAAATCGAGTGTCCAGAGCTTTAACTGGGCTGGTGGACATGAAGAGTCCACCTAGGGGAGTTGGAAAACCTGCATTCCAAACCAATGGTACACATGAGCTCCAGTATCCCGAGGGAACAAATGGCGTATGAACCAATCGTTGGTCACCGGCTACTATGGGATTGCATCTCCTTACGACGCTCCACTGTCTTGTCGATCACACCATGTCGAAGGCTCCGGGTGTGGCCCCCTAAGGAAACCACCTCTTTCGGTTTGGGCACTCGGGCAGTATCACAGCCCTCACACATATCAAATGAGATTTGTGTGGCACATATGTATTTGGTGCCTCGTTGTACCAATATCTATGTGTTAAAATAAATAATAATAATTACTTTGATAATCATTAATCATTTTCTTCTGGTTATCTCATATCGGCTCTCTGTAGATGGATAGATAGGTAGATAGATCTTTTGGACATTCTATCTTTATTCAATAAAATTTGTTGAGTAAATATATATTATACAGTTAGGATTTGTATTAGTCCATCTCTTTTTTTTAAAGCTAGTTATAAATTAGTGAATGTAGGTGGTAGGGCGGGGGAGTGAGTATTCCATTCTTTTTGTTTGTTTGACCGCTGAATGTGTAAACTGAATGATAAAAACATGACTTCTTCAGTTTGAATATTAATATTACTCTATTCAACTTAATATAAAATTATTCTCATTTCAGGAAGTCGACCTGGTGCGTTAATTGCTACTTGCTGGGCAACAATGATGTATCATGGAGAAAATGGTTATTGCAAATCTACCAAACGTATCATCAGTACTACTCGATATATTATAAATGAGTAAGTTAAATTATTCCTATTCTAGTTATTAAATCTGTATCAAATTGGACTGATAAATCATAGAAAATCAAAAGATAATTTTCGGCTACTTTCTTTGTTTTGTTTTTTTCTTGTTTCGTTTAAAATCTTCATATACTAAGTACCTATTACCTTATATGGCATCATTGATCATGGTTTATGACGAGAAGATTTATAATGAGAAATTTGGATTATTGAATTTCTGTTCATAGATTGAATAGTATACGGTTGATAGTTAGACCTCAAATGTTATGGTTTGCGTAAGTTAAAAACACGTTCTCAAACAAGTCCCAAAATTATATTTTCACCAGGCAAAAATATTATACTTAAAACTGTACAAGATACACATATGCCAACATGAGGACTGATCAATTAGAGTCCTAAATAACAAAGGGGAAGATACATGTAAAACAACATCAAGTGAATTCAATCATTGGTATAGGGGTTGTAGAGATTATTAAGTTTTTGATTAAGATCATGAACCGATTGTTGTTAGACCACCACCATTGGAAACCTGGAAGCACTGCACGGTCGTTTCGTCCTATTGTGGGACTGCTCAGCAGTGCGCATCCACGATCCCGCTCGCGGGATTCCAACCCAGGGCCTTCGTTCTCCCGCGCGAACTCTTAACCTACTGGACCACTGAGCCGACCGGCATCTGAGGGTGATAGTGTCTAACATCAACCAATCCACGAAATTGCGCAACCAACTTCCATTGTGCTGAGGTAGATACCTGTCTCTACCCAACATGGATTAGCTCCACTGGTCACGGCTTCTCACTAGAACTCCGAGAATTCCCTCACGAAGCTAATCACTAGTGAGCACATGTTGATTAGTAGTATAGTAGTTGTGGAGATTATTAAGTTTTTGATTGAGATCATTTATATACTAATTTTTACACACAATAATATCACATATAAGAGAAAATATATCAAATTACTGTAAATACACACACTGAATTAAGTCCAGTTGATGAATTAGTACAGGGAATTTAATTATCACACTGAACAAAAATTCACACTTGTCTTATTGAACAAAATTTATACTGAATTGATACAATGATTATTAACTTGAAAAAATATCATCTTTTAAAAAGTATTAAATGTTAATGTAGAAGAACCTCTAAAAGAGCCGAAGACATTCCTCTCTCACCGATCCCCCCTTCTCCTCTATCTGTCGTTCATATTTTACAGTGTGACAAGTTAAACTTACGTATAAATTCAGTCACTCAGTCAGCTACAACGTAGGACCGGGCACATATATGCATCGATCCAAGTTGCCATACCTCATTAGGACAACAAGATGAACACCGGATCCATAAAGGTAGTTAGTTCAATGATGGTAATATGTAAAAGAAAGATTCCATATAAGGATATAGTACAGGAAGAAAGAATTAGTTCGTAGAAAGAAAGATATGAAGCGATTTTAATCTCTTAGTTTAAGGGAAGGCAGAGAGTGTATACACCATTGTGATCGATTCTGAGCCATGTCATCCACGGTCTCTAACCATTGATTACGATAGTCACGCGGACCCCAGTCAAGTAGTCTGCATCTATCAACATGGCTCAGACCAGAAGTTAGTGACATTGTGGACTGATGCCACGCTTTGGTTTGGCTGCCCTTAACTTTCTTCCAACCATCTCCAACACCGGTTAGCATTGCGCGTCGTGGTAATCGATGTTCAGGCATACGGATTCGAAAAACTCGTTTGGCTTTTGCCAACTTACGTCACCTATGGCGAAGGCGAGATATCCGTCTATCAATAAAAGGACGAGTATACTGCGTGGCAGTCCGTTCTATTTTAATTTACGGCAGCGAAACATGGCCATTAAGAGTAGAAGACACTCGTAAGCTACTAGTGTTTGACCACATAACGTCAAATCGTCATATACAATAAATTAATCATTAAACAGTGATCAATGTTGTGTTTTTCTAGTCTTTTAGTGATGATCAAATCCTATTAACCAAGTTGTATTGTAGCCACTATCTCTAAGTGACTTAACAGTGCGTCCACTATTTTGAGATACTAGTTGGTTAGAAATAGTCGATAGGGAACTCTGCTTTACTTAGATTTTGTATCAGTTCACATTTTTCAACTAAGGTTACTTACCGGTTTGATATAAACGATACTCTGTAAGATTCGAACAAGAGGGTTAGTCATAGCTTGAATAGTTCAGCAGTAACACTTCAGAATGTGAAGCTAGGTGACATATGTTTAGATCCCACAGAAGATCACCGGTTACTTGAGTATCTCAGATACACACCTTAATGACCCATGCTAATTAGTAGAAAACCTAAATCAAGAAGTGTGTCCCCTATCTTGTTATTTCTAACCATCAAATACCAATGTATTTTTGTTGAAGAGATTTTGTGGAGATTAGTTTAGTCTAAAGGTTATATTTGTCATAGATTTACCTGAATTAGGATATTATGAAATATTTATGAAATCTTATTAATTATCTTTTATTGGTTGAAATCATGAGTCAACTGAAGCTAGACCACCATGGAAAACCTGGAAGCACAGGACGGCCGTTTCGTCCTAGTATGGGACTCCTCAGTGGAGTTCAACCAGGTCTGTTGTGAGACAGGAACTCACTGATGACAATGGCATATGGTGGCGCAACTTCGTGGATTGGTTGAAGTTAGACATTAACACCGTTGGATGCCGGCCGGTGCCTGGCACGAGACTGATAGGTCCTGGGTTGGAATCTCGTGGGGTACGGGATCATGGATGCGCACTGCTGAGGAGTCCCGTACTATGACGAAACGACCGTCCAGTGCTTCCAGGTTTTCCATTGTGACCTAGCTTCAATTGACTCATGATTTCAACCAGTGAAATCTATAAATCTCCACAAAAACCCATTCTGATAATTATCTTTTCTTATTTCATTTAGATTACGTAAAATACCGGGTATTTTTGTAATTGGTGAACCAAATGTTTCCATTGTGGCATTTAGTTCAAATAATTTTGATATATATAAATTAAATTATTTATTATCAGATAAACCAAATGGACGCGGTTGGAATTTAAATAATTTACAATTTCCACCAGCGATTCATTTATGTGTTACAGATATGCATACAACAAAAGGTTGTGCAGAACAATTTATTCAAGATGTAAAAGATGTAGCTAAAGAATTAATAAAACAACCAAATAAAAAATCTGAAGGTTCAGTAAGTTGGGTTTTTTTTTTATTCTATTCTTGTTATATTGGTGTTTACATAAGAAAGTAGCTCAAGGGTTTAAGGCGTTCGACTTCCAGTTATAAAGTCCCCAGCCTTGATCCTTGGGTCTATCTACTTCAGTTTAGGTGACTGGTTGATATTGATAATTTTTTTATTCAGAGTGTGGCTTAAAGCCAATTGTATGGATCTGTACGTGATAAATGAGTTAAATAAATCTATTGTCGCCTAGTTAAAATTGAATCCTTAAATGTAATGGTGGTTGATAGTATAAGTTCCAGTGATGATGATGATGATAATCAGAACACGGGTTGGGACAATCGAATTATTTAGCACAAAATTACAGAGTTATTTGGTAAAATAAAATAAAAAACCATACTATAATACCTAATTTGCAAAATGTTCAATAATTGTCTCGAACTTCATTGTTCTTGCATTTCCATACCAATTGCTTTCTATCCCCGCTCTTCCTTTCTTGATCTTCCCCCATCTTCTGCTGCCAGACATTACATTCCTGACTCGCATTATATACTACTTATATCAGTATAAATAGCACTCACCACACTCGTCCCCTCCCTTAAGGCAGTCGTTCTTGCGGTGGTTCATGCTCCCCGTGCTATATTCTTCGTCTCTGCAGTCTGTGCTACGCTCTTCGTTAAAGTTTCGAGTCTGCGGCGCGCTGAACTCCATAGCTCCGTCGACCTGCCGGAGTAACAACATCCTACATCCACCCGGCACCTGGGACGCTTAACACCCGTGCTTCACCGGCCTGCTGAGCCATCAACATCCGATGTCCGCCCAGCAGCCGCACGTCTCACCGCTCCTTTCCGTCGACAGCAGCCGCTACAGCCAACGCCACCCCGCCAGAACACTCCACTCGACGCCACCTCTCCGCACCAGACTACCCCAGCTAGCACCTCAGCTCAAGGCCCGCGACGGCGTCCGCAGAACAGCACCCTCCCCCTCTCCTGATTGGCAGCGTCATTTTACCCTACACTACGAAGTGGCGAAATGAAAAAAACTGCTATTCTTTTTCATCTGGGCTTTAATGAAGAATAAGTAGTTCTGATGCTAGAATATCATTTATCAAATTACGGGTAGAAATACACTTCATTTATTTCGATAATAGTTATCATAGAATAGCATCTATACGGTGCGGTTTTCCAACCATTTTAGGTTGGTAAAACCTCAATTAGTAAAGCCAATAAGTGTATCTGGATTAGAATACATTTTCCAAGGCTCATGAACCCACCATGTGGACGTGATTTAGTGGAGAAATCGTTAAAACTTCCGGGTCTGGGTACGCGGGCATCACACCAAGGGAAAATCTACTCTACATGCACACCGGTAGCGCACAAGTTTTTACTCATGCATCCCGTAACATACATATAGGTATATTCACCTAGGACGGTAGATGGTCATCACTCCCTTCAAACATATTTGCTTCAACTGACTGTCACTCTCATGTTACATGCATATCACTGGTATAAAGGCTTTTACTCCTGCACTTCATGGCATGCACATAAGCATAAGCTCTCTTTCAAGAGGGTTTGATGGTCAACTACCTCTAGTATTTGCTACCATATCCTTTTATTACGTTTTCGACCTCATTGGCATAAACCACTGATCTTATTACATATAAGACAGATATTTTTTCAGCTTACGTTCCTTTTGCATGCATGGGGCGTACCCTTTGGATGTGCCTACATACATGACTTCAAAAGCCAAGACCTATGTAATTCATATAGATAAGCATACACATTGGGCAGCCCGTCACACTTTTTAAAGCCTTAAAAAAATGAACGCCATGTGGTAATTATTCTCTGTACCCCAAGGGAATATGAAAGTAAATGACACTTTAAAAAATTATTTACAGATCTTTTCATCAATGATTACAATGGAAAACCTTTTAGTCTTTATCATGAGAATTGAAGTAGGTAACTTTGAGAATCGACCAATTAGGATGCACGTTTCAAGGAGAAACCAACTTCAAGTTTATACATGTGCTTAGAAACAAAAATTCCAAGATTTCAACTAAAGGAATCACTTTTCCAACTGATCCCGATTGAGCTTACCAAAAAGCATACTTACAAACAGTTTGTTGTTTCTAAACCTTCAGTCATACACATTCTGAATCTTCCATTGAAGTAATATCCAATTATCGCAATCAATAACTTGACCATGACTTCTGACATAATTAAATTTTCAATATCACTTTTGAAAAGAATTGACGAAACTTTCGGTATTGTTTTAATCATGCAATGACACGATATGTGGAGAGCCCTTAATAATTATATCGTCCTAATTCAGGTCTCTTCATCATTGCGTATCATTGAAAATAATTAGGGCTTGAGACCAAAATATCGAACAAGACACCTTTAGATCCGTCAACTGTAACCTACCAGTTTCAAATCTATCACATTCATATTAATATTTTCTGCTATTGTATTCATTCCTGTATGTGAAGTGACCTTATTGTTACTACCTCTACTATTCTGGAAATCAACTTAACAATTTGATCTCTCTGTGACAAAATAGGGTATAGTAACTTGAACCGATGTACATAAGTTTCAGGTTCTATATTGTAATTGACTGACTGCGAATTGTAGAAATAGTTCATCATTGAAAAATAAAGATGGTACTTCAGCGATGAAATTTTTCTTTTCGACGATTTCACTAACTTAAGCTGTACAGTCAGTCAGTCAGTCAGTAACAACGTAGAACTTCGTACGTACGTACATCAGTTCAAGTTGCCACATCACCTTAGCACAGAGATGCAGTTGTCGATTCAAATCCCGTAGTGGTAGAGGTAGCAAAAGTATAAGCAGTAATCGGGAAGATTAGGGTTTGGAGATGTTATTTAAAGAGTATAATCCAGTGAAATAAATTTGGAAAGAGGAAAAAAAGGGACATGAAGAATTCAGAGGATTAGAATTTGGGAGAACACAGAGAGTGGATGCACCTGCGCCATTGCAAACGATTTTGAGCCATGTCATTCAGGGTCTCTAACCATCGGTTGCTATCATCTCGTGGTCCCCAACCAGGTAGTCTACACTTACCAACATGACTCAGTCTACTTGTCAGTGACTTCATGGACTTGTGCTGTACAGTCGTATTTATAGTCAATTTTACTAGCTAAAATAATGTTTTGTAGTTTTTTTTATTTTATTATATTTCAACACATAGATAATGGTACAAAGAGGCACCAAATACATGTGCGCCACACAAATCTCATTCGATATGTGTGAGGGCTATGATACTGCCCGGGTGCCCAGACCGAAGCAGGTGGTTCTCTTAGGGGGCCACACCCCGAGCCTTTGACCTAGTGGTCTAACCCACAAGGCAGTGGAGCATCGTAAGGAGATGCAGTCCCATGGTAGCCGGTGACCGAAAATTGGTTCATACGCCATTTGTTCCCGCAGGATACTGGAGCCCATGTGCACCACTGGTTTTGAATCCGGTTAAAGCGCCGGACATTCGCTTTTCGTCCTCTCATTTTCGTAAACAACACCCCCGCCACGAGAAGGCAGTGAGTAGGACTTCCCTGGCAGAGGCTATGTACGCGTGGCCGTGTGAGAGCATTTCGAGAGGGAGAGCGGACTCTCCCCACTCTCGGCCGTACCAGGGCATTTGGGGGCAAAACTGTTTTGTAGTGAGATAGAAAGGTATTAATTAATTAAAAAAAGCTAGAAGTAGTATGTTATCTAGACGGAAGTTAAGTAACAATCGGCTAGTAAAAAAAAGTGATAAGGTAGAAATAATCATCTATTCAATAGCTTGTAAGGACAGAATCATTAAAATTTGTAATTATTGCTAATTAATAAAAACGGTAGATTATGGAAGATAGAAAGTGAGGTCAAAACCATTGAAAAATAAAGGACTGAACATATTGTTTTTGTATACAAAGGTTAGGTTTAAACTGGTACACAGTAATAGCCTCTGTTGTACATAAATTTTCTCATTTGCATTCTCAACTTTTCTGGTTGTATGTATGATTTTTAAAGAGGTTTCTGGTGAAGTAGAGTGACTAGAATTGACTAGATTGCTCTAGAATTAAGTTTTCGATTGACTTTCACAATTCTTTAAAGATCCAGTTACTGTTTGAAGATCTGTTTCAAAAGAACTCAATTTATGTGGCCAATATAACCTGTTACACATGAGCGAATAATCTATTAGATATATATTGATTTGACTCAAAGCTATAGTTTATTATTGATAAAAGTACTTTTTATTTTATTTTATTCAAACACAAGGATGCACCAAATAAATATGTGCCACATAAATCATTCGATTTGTGTGAGGACTGAGGTACTGCCCGGGTGCCCAAACCGAACCACGTGGTTTTCTTAGGGGGGGGGGGCACACCCGGAACCTTCGACCTACAGGTCTGATCCACAAGACAGTGGAAAAACATAAGGAGATGCAGTCCCATGATAGCCGGTGACCAACGATTGGTTCATATGCCATTTGTTCCATCAGTATACTGGAGCCCATGTACACCATTGGTTCGGAATCAAGGTTTTTCAACTCCCTTAACTGGGATGTTCCGTGTCCACCAGCCCAGTTAAAGCGCCGGACACTCGATTTTCGTCCTCTCAATTTCGTAAACAATAGTAATGCCACGAGAAGGTAGTGAGTAGGACTTCCCTGGCAGCAGCCTTATATGAATGATCATATGAGAGCATTTGGAGAAGGAGAGCGGACTCTCCTCACTCTCGACTGTACCAAAGCATTTGAGAGCATTGTATCTAAAATAATTCATTGCAAAGAATCTTTTTACAAATAATCCAATTGACATTGAATATCTCTTTCTTTTTTTTTTCTTGTTTAATTAATTATCATTCCTAATTAAGAATTATATAATCTTCATCTATTCTCTTTCTTATTTCAATCAACAATTAAAGGCTGCTCTTTATGGATTATCACAAATGATACCGGATCGTTCAATTGTCACTGAATTAGCTCATTGCTATTTAAATGCATATTATGATACACCAAATAATGTATCATAATAATAATAATACAAGAAAGACATTTTCTAGTGTTTATCTTATAAGATCTAATAATACACTATTATGTATACACTTTTTTCTTCAATTCTATACATCTGATATTCATTGAGTATTATTCATACATAGTATTAACTCTTTTCTGAAGAAGATGAAGAAGAAGAAGAAAAAGACGAAAAACAAAGAATCTAGACGTTTATACTACTGAAAATAGTTTTCTTTTTATTCATAGAAGCTTTAACTGGACAATTTTTAATTGTCATTTATTCTATGTGTATTTGACTTTCTCAATTGTTTCACTAATTTTCTGTTTATTTACTTACTTTTATTTATTTATTTCGCCTATATAATGGAGTTATTTGAGATTTAAGTGTATTTGATTGGGGTTTTTGTTTGGAGGTTAATAGAATAATATAACACATAAATAAAATTCTTGAATGTGAATATTTTCAATTATTGATATCAGTATAGGAGTTATGGAGATTATTAAGTTTTTGATTCGGATCATGAACCGATTGGTGTTAGACTACCATTGGAAACCTGGAAGCACTGTAAGGCCGTTTCATCCTATTGCGGAACTCCTCAGCAGTGCGCGTCTACGATCCCGCTCGCGGGATTCGAACCCAGGGCTCTCAGTCACGCGCGCGAACTCTTAACCTACTGGATCACTGAGCCGACCGGCATCCGATGGTGATAGTGTCTAACATCAACCAATCCATGAATTTGGACGACTATCTTCCATTGTACTGAGGTAGATACCTGTCTCTACTCGACATGGGCGAGCGGGTCCTGGATTCGAACCTCGCGATGCGGGATCGTGAATGCGCACTGCTGAGGAGTCCCATAATAGGATGAAACGGCCTTACAGTGCTTTCAGGTTTCCAATAGTGGTCTAACATCAATTGGTTCATGATCTCAATAAAAAATTATTGATTTGTTTTGTGCTGATTATTCAAATGAGTATCAGTGTTTGTTTGTTTGTTTATGTATCGATGTGTGTGTGTGTAAATATGTTTATGAATTTAGATTGATTTACCAAATAAGTAGATCATAATAATATCTGTAGATATTAGCCCTATTTTATTGATCTTTGAAGATAGCCTACATTACGGACTAACTTTAGCAAGATAATCAGCAAAAAAAACAAAGAACACTAGATGATTATTATTTCGTCATGATATGCGACTTCTTAATAATGACAACTTCTAAAAAGATCGAATCTATCATCTTCAGACATATAAATCGATTTACATTTACAAATTCAGGCACTATAATATCATGTTAAGCCTCCATGATATATTGACATCAATGAAACAGTTTAACATTCAGTATATTAAATTGGATGTTATCTAATAACGCAAATTTGACTTCAATAGTTCAAACCTAAAACTTTACTTAAAACAATTTGTCCCTTTGATAAATTTCGATAATGTAATAAGACGAAGATTATCAGTACTATGTGATGACATATATTAGCGTAATACATTTCGAACAATCTGATCACACATTACATACTTGTTAAGAACATATAAGGTATATTAAAGTTTATTGAAACCTTAACCATACAAATATTCAAACCCCCTTTGTGTATTCAAAAACAGTTTGTTCTCACCTTAAACCTACCCTGGTAGTATTAGCTTATTATTCGTAAAGTGATTAGGTGTCAAATTGTGTTCACATTATTATTATTATTTTGATTGAGATCATGAACCGGTTGATGATGTTAGACCACTATTGAAAACCTGGAAGCACTGGACGGCCGTTTCGTCCTATTGCGGAACTCCTCAGCAGTGCGCATTCATGATCCCGCTAGCGGGATTCGAACCCAGGGCCATCAGTCTCGTGCGTGAACGCTCAACCTACTGGATCACTGAGCCGGTCGGCATCGAATGGTGTTAATGTCTAACCTCAACCAATCCATGAAGTTGCGCCACCATCTTTCATTGTACTGAGGTAGACACCTGTTTCTATCCGAAACGGATTAGCTCCGCCAGCGTGATCGTGGATGCGCACTGCTGAGGAGTCCCGCAATAGGACGAAACGGCTGTCTAGTGCTCCCAGGTTTTCAATGGTGGTCTAGCATCATCAATAGGTTCATGGTCTCAATCAAAAAAAAATTAACAATCTCCACAACCCCTAAATTAATATTATTATAATCCTTGTCTACTCTTTCCCCCATTTCCAGTCTAATTGACCTTTAATTTTCTATATATAAATGTTCTTCACAAGTATGTAATGTGTGATCAGATTGTTCGAAATGTATTACGCTAATATATATCATCACATAGTACTGATAATCTTCGTCTTCTTATTACATTACCAAAACGTTACGACAGAATACAAAATCATAATTTCACAGGTTGAAATCATGAGTCAGTTGAAGCTAGACCACCATTGAAAACCTGGAAGCACTGGACGGTCATTTCGCCCTATTGCGAGACTCCTGAGCAGTGCGCATCCACGACCTCACCCCCTGCGAGATTCGAACCTACTGGTTTCGTGTGCGAGCACCTAACCACTAGACCACTGAGCCGGCATCCAACAATGTTAATGTCTAACCTCAACCAATCCACGAAATTAACAGTTGTACATTATTAACAAATCTGTAACATTTTTTGTAATGTTTATCCAAGATAATATTCTTTGTATTGACTCAATGTAAACTACTTCTTTAGAGTAAATAAATAACCAAATCAAAAATTTATCCAAGTTTAAATAGTACATAAGAATAATGCAAGAATATTATGTGCGATTAATAAAAAAAAACAAGTCTCAACAAGTCAATATCATGTTATTTCGGTCAAGGTGATTTATAACCGACATATATGTAAGTTTGTGTGTGTGTGCGTGTGCAAGGTCAGGGATGAAAAAATGTGACCTTCATGGTGAGAAAGGAGATCGTTTAATTTGTATCTAAGATAATATTGTGAAATGTGAATAGTATCAGACATGGTATCTTGGATAGATAGTTTAAGTCGGATGTGTAGTGAGACCATCTTTTCTATTGAGATCATCATATGGAATACTTCAGCTACTCTCCTTTGTTTGTAGTTGGAAAAATGTTTGTGTATTATTTTGGTGTTTTTGAAATTGATTTGGTGGTTGTTGAGAACGGTATAAACTGCTATCCTTGACGAGGGGTAACAGACGTAAGCAAGTCAGTATTGTGTTATTTTATTTGAACACATAGATATTGGTACAAGGAGGCATCAAATACATATGCGCCACATAAGTCTCATTTGATTTGTGCGAGGGCTGTGATACTGCCCGGGTGCCCAAACCGAAGCAAGCAGTTTTCTTAGGGGGCCACACCCGGAGCCTTCGACCTGAAGGTCTGATCCATATGGCAGGGGAGCATCGTAAGGAGATGTAGTCCCATGGAAGCTGATGACCAACGATTGGTTCATACGCCATTTGTTCCTTCAGGATACTGGAGCCCATGTGTACCATTAGTTTGGAATCAAGATTTTACAACTCCCCTATGTGCACTCCCCTGTTATAATCTCTCTTTCTTACTACGGTTAATGACCCAGCTATTCCTATTGCTTAGTATTCTCGGACACCGATTCACTCGACAAGTCCAAAAACCAGAACACGGTTGAACAGGAAAAAGATTATATCCCAAATAGCAAATCAGAAGCCAGTAGGAAGCACAATAGGGGAAAACGTCGGTATATTTATAGTTTTTACATAAGAAGAATCCAGAATATTCTCCAACTATCGACTAGCGCTGATTGGATAAGAATTAGCCAATCAGCGTGCACCAAGGCAATCATGCATTGAGCATGCTTTAGTCTAGTCTATGTCCCGCTAACACCTCCCCTCTGAGCAGATTCGTAGGATCTGGTGCTAGGGTCCAACTGCAACTGAGTGACTGGCTTGTGCTTTCGATTAGTCCATCGTCTAGGCAATGAAGAATTATCACATTTTCCTTGCACAGAGACTGACATGTCTGTTCCCGGCGTTTTGATTTTTCTTAAAAAAAAAGTATGCATAACTTTTAATTCTCCAACATTCTCCTCCTCCTCGAAATAATGTTGGGTCCTTATGGCTCCAAATTACAACTAGTAGGACTTTATTTAAACCATGTTTCTCGTATTGACTGGAGAATCCACTAAAAATGACTAGATGATGATGAACAACCTTTGATCTGAGTTCATTATTTTCAAATTCATTATGAATCTCGTTAGCAGATAACGAGTCATTAAGAAAGTCAACGTCTAACAGAATTAGATTAGATTTTCGGCCATCATTCGACTCAGCTGACATATTTCCCTCATTGTTATAAGAAGGTTCATCCAAATCATATGCATTATTCTGAGAATCAATATCTGGTACACTGTCATTAGAAATGGGATAAGTTGACTCAATATAAAATTCTGTCTTCCGGTGATTTTGAGTAACATCTGGTACAATTTGGTTCATCGTGTTGCTCCAGTTATTTTCTGAATACGAGTCACCATAGCTTTCTCGACTAATAGCACGTGGACCACAATTTTGTTCGAGCTGATGTTTATTTTCGCAGCTAGACAGTACCAGTAGTGTTTCATTTGATTCTGGACTCCGGGCTTCATCTACAGGACCTGGCTCCTGATCATCTGGTATTGTCACAACTTCATGTGCATTCAGCACAGTATTTTCTTGCTGTGAGCCGGACACGTTACAAATATTACGTTCTGATTCAGGTATAAAGGGATTTGAACCCTCCACTAGATATGCTTCTGAAATGTCTGTTACTGCATCATAAACAGATTTCTTATTTTCTGGTCGAGTGAAAAGTGTGTTCAATAGTTGTTGTTGCAAGGCTAACAACTTCTGCTGGTGCTGTAATATTAACCGCAACTGTTCTAAAGAAATCGCCATTTTTCTTTAGTTTTTCCCCGTCGCCACTGTTATATCTCTGTTTCTTCTTACGGTTTATGACCCAGCTATTCCTATTGCTTAGTGTTCTCGGACACCGATTCACTCGACAAGTCCCCAAATCAGAACACGGTTGAACAGGAAAAAGATTATATTCCAAATAGCAAATCAGAAGCCAGTAGGAAGCACAATAGGGGAAAACGTCGGTATATTTAGTTTTTACATAAGAAGAATCCAGAATATTCTCCAACTATCGACTAGCGCTGATTGGATAAGAATTAGCCAATCAGCGTGCACCAAGGCAATCATGCATTGAGCATGCTTTAGTCTAGTCTATGTCCCGCTAACATCCCCATATCCACCAGCCTGGTTAAAACGCCGGACACTCGATTTTCGTCCTCTCAATTTCGTAAAGAATAGTAATGCCACGCGAAGGTAGTGAGTAGGACTTCCCTGGCAGAGGCTATATACACGTGGCCATGTGAGAGCATTTGGAGAGGGAGAGCTAACTCTCCTCACTCTCGGCCGTACCAGGGCATTTAGGAGACCTTCAAGTGGTCCGAAGTCTGCGACCCAATGTGTAAAAGTTTAGTCGTTTGATCACTGATCCACTTCTACGGTTCAATTCACACTTTTGTCAATAATCTAAAGATTTTTGGTTTGAACTAGTCTTGTGACTAAGATCTGTTTTCTGTTCAGTTATGTCAGTTTTATTCTGTGTCAAAATTACTTTTACACTCTGAATAAAAACTTTTTTTCAGTCTCAGTTAAGACCCATTTTTCGGGGAAGTTCACGGACTTGATCGGATCATGAATATTACTTGCATTATTTTAGACTATCAATCAGTGATTTTTAAACAACAGTGAAGTAACGAGGTTTGGTTAGCGTTTTAGAAATCTAGTGCACGGAATGTAGCACGAAATTCTGTTATTTCCTTTAATCTGGTTTCAATGTCGAAAATACCCTGAAAAGTCTGGAACTAGCCAATTCTAACTCATTTAACCCCAATACGAAATTCTATGATCGAGTTTTTATATAATCCGTTCATAATTTCTGTGCACTAGGATGACTACTCAATGCGCTATCTGGATTGCTGTAAGAGTTTTCTCAATCCATGAACTCATTAACTTTTGAATTGATAGTTCCAAACTATCTGGTTGGGTTCCGCGCTAGAAGTTGATGAGCGAAATGGTTTAGAATCACTTGCAGTGATGTATGTGCCTTTTTTTCTTTCTCGAGATCTTGATTTTCAATATTCTTTCATACATTCTTTACTCACTCTCTATTTTATCCCACTAACTATTTTAGCCTATTTGTTGTTCATCGTGTTAATTTCATCTCTCTCTGTACTAGTATATTATGCCTAATTGTGGTAATGCACACTTCTTCCTGGTTTGTATGCTGTCTATAGCTCCTTAAACAGGTTAACAACAACAACAACAACAAAAAGAAAACGGTAAATCGATTGATTTCTCCCACCTCCAATAAAATAATTTGTGTAATGAAAATCTCTGTAAATTTCTGTAAATGTGGAAGACGATTGATAATATAAGTTTCAGTTTTGAAGTAAAAGTTCAATGATCAATCAAATGTCAACCTCATTTTACAACAATTATTGGACATTGAAAAGTTTCCTTTTTCTTTGAATTTGTGTTGAAATATATATATATCAATGGTAATTCAGTGATATTTACAAATTTCGGTTCTACTTTACTGTTTAAAGGTTAACTATAAATCTGAACCAAAAATTGTTCATTTTATTTCAATGTATCAATCAATATGGAATAGAGTTTAAACCTAATAGAAAGTGGAATTAGATTAAAATTATGTTGAATTTCATCAGCCTTAGTAGATCAGTACTGGCTGATGAATTTTCAGCACAGATATTGAAAATCCATTCTCTTGTTCAATTGT